CCCCAGGGGGGATGGTCACGCCACAACCCCTTCTCCTCCATTCTCCTCTTGGGATCTTGGGCATGCACGCACACGTGCCTGGCATGAGTTTTAAGCCACCGGGTCTGGGTCTCAAACCGCGGTTGACTACGTGAGAGTCCAGTGACATAGCCATTATGCTAACTGCTGGTTCCCACTATATATATTTCTAACCTAGCTAAAATTTTAGTAACCATACGGTACAGCCCACAGCATGCTCTTTATAGTTAATGAAACCCCCTGAGCCAGGCAGTGGTGGTCTGGATTCTACATGGTTGGAGTCTCGAACTTGGCAGCTTGAAAATCATGCCTGATGCATGTTTGTGTCTGTCCAAAATCCCAAGAGGAGAATGGAGGAGAAGGGATTGTTGTGTGGCCATACTTCTGAGGGTGGGAGTGGGGCTTTCTCACTTTCTCCCTCTCTGTCTCTCCAGCGAGCACACTCACCCTATAGCAAATTTTGAGAAAAGAAAGAAACCCCAAAGAAAATGGATGCATCCCTACTGCTCTGATGACATCTCAGGAATCTGAGGGCACCAGCTGTGTTCTTACAGAGGAAACACAGAGCAGAGCCTTTGGTAGCTCTTTCTTTCAAGTCAGAATAGCAGGTTTGAATACAGATTCCCATTTGGTCATTGTGTTAACCTTTGGGCCTTGCTTTGTTATCTGTAAAACGGGCATATAAAAGTAGCTGTCAGAAAGGCAGACTTACGTTAAAGAGTAATAAGATAAAACATGTGACGTGATGTGATGTGGCTGGCATATGGTCAGTGCTTACTACGTGCTAGCTGTTATTTTTAAAAAGCCACAAAGCCAATGTACATAACAGAAATCAACAGAGATCTATCTGATAGCCGTAAGTAGTACCCCGAATGGAATGGTGGGTCCTTTATAGAAAAATAAACAAGGGGCTGAGGGGAAGAATTTCATATACTAGGGATTATTTAAGCAAGTGACATTTGGAGGCAAGATGAACTTGGGTTTAGCTAAATTTAATACACAGTTTCCCTGACTTATCTCCTTCCATAGTCTTCTTCACTCAGAAGGCTCCAATTACTCTGACCTTCTCGTAGTTCTTCTAATGCCCCAGAATGGTCCCTCTGCATGGCCTCTGCCCTTTTTCTTCCTCTGCCTGATACTGCACCCCCGGCTTCTGTGTGGATCCCTCCCTCTCTTACATCACTGCTCACAAGTCATCTTATCAGAGAGGCTTTCCTGGACCTCCTGCTACCACAGCCCCATCACTTTTTCTTTGCTTTGGTTTTCTTTACAACACATTTATTACCACTAGATTTATTGGTTTTTTTTTTTTTTTTTAATTTCCTACAGAAATGCACTTGTCTGAGAGAGAAAGAGAGAAAGGGAAAGTGAGAAGTCAAACCCATGGGAGAGGACCATGCCTCAATCCCTTCTTGTCCATTCTTCTCTCAGTATTTTGGGCACCCACGTAAACATGCCCAGTGTGATGGTCAAGCCTGCATGTCTGGACTCGGACTGTGCAGTCAGCCATGTGAAACCCAGCTGCCTTAACCTCCTTGCCACCTGTGCTCCACCACGTGACATATTCTATTGTTATTTGTTTATCTGGTTATTGTTGGCCTCCATTAATTTGGGTGTAGGCTCCACAATATCAGGGACACTGGCTGCTCTGTTCTTCACCCATCCTTATCACTAGAACTATGGCCACCCTGAAGACATAGAGTGGGAGCTCAACAAAGAGTTACTAAATTAAAGAATGAATGACAGCCAGCATGGGTGACAAAAGTGAGGTACTGCAGTTGATTCTTCCATTCGTTTTGAAATGGTTTCACTTCAAAGTATTAAACTGTTTACACTTCACACCAAGCTTCAGATAAAAGGTCTTACCCTATTAACTTGGATACAGGGGCATTGATTTGTACAGAAGTTGCATTGCCGAGTGTGTCTGTATTTATAACAAAGAACTTTACAGTTGGATTCACAGCTCCTGCCTAGGAAAAAACAATCACAGAATTGGTTTTGACAAAGAAACAGAACATCATTGCACAAACTCAAACCTGCTCAAAATGTTTGCATTATAGCCATAAAATTATAATAATCCAACACATTCAAACAATTTGATATAAATAAAATGAACATAAGGAAGAGTCATGAAATTCAGTCTTTATATACAAGCATACGTTTTACATGTATATAAAGCTTTGAAGGGCCAAAGCACTCTTGCATAAATAATAAATGTTTATATGTTTATAATTTATGTACTTTGTGCATGCCTGCATAGATACATTTCTTAAAATCAGCTCTATTATTTGCAAATATACCCTGGCTCCACAAGACAAAAAGTCTTTGATGGCTGTCACTATAAAGAACACCTTGGGTTCTGCCAAAGACACAACTCACTAGGAAAATTAGTTTACCTGAGCCAAGAGCAATGATGCTAATTAGGAAGCCACCATTTCTACTCTAAATTCAGGTTCACCATGTTGGAGCATGACAATCAATATTATGACAGAAACCTCTAAAACCTTTTTTAAATATATACATTGATGTTTGATTGATGGATTAGTTAGAAATAATACGATATTTTTAGTGAGAAAATTTTATGGCTTTTTTTTTTTTGCCAGTTTCACTCATCAAAAAATAACATTCCACTGAAAACACATCTCCATATTTAGTGTCTGAACTGCTTTTTCTTTTAACTTCCTCTGTCTTCCTAAAATGGCAGCTCTTCATAAGGCAAATTGAGTGAGTTGGTAAAAATAAAAATCTCTTTTTCAAACTGCTTATGGCAAAAAAATTTCACTATTAGATTTTCCTAGAGATGATACTGTGGCCATTATTGTCATACCAGTAAAGAATCCTGGTCTCTTCTAATCTTCCCTGCCCCCCCCTTTCCTGGCTTACAGTACTTAACAAAGCTCTTCAATTTTAATAAACGCACATCCCAGAGCGAGAGAACAGCCTTGAAAACGAAGACATGACACTATTATTCCAAATGTAGGACGTGTGAAATTTACATTAGTGCCAAATCTATAATAAAACCACGAAAACTAGTCATGTATCCTGTTAATTAGTAATACAATCTGATATATAATCAAGCTTTTCAACTTCATCTAGGGCACATTCCAACTTCTCCAAATGAGATGAGCTTCTGATTCAATTACAGCCTCTCTTTTCCTCCATTCAAACATTTTCATTCCCCCTACCTCTTTTAAAAACATTTTCCCCATCTTTTTCTGCTTGTCATTCCTCAAAGTTTTTGGAGAAATTACAAAACCTTAAATCA